CATTACGATTAATGCCGAAATGTAAACAACTTTGGATAGAAGTAGGTGAATTAAAACGATCTTATTTAAATATTAGTCTAATCAATATTATTTGTTATAGTATTTCAAACTTGAATTATTATATGTTGAATTGATAGAAAAACGACGGGCAGTTCTGGATGGAAATCGTAAAGATAAAGTAAACAAAAATTGTTTTGTTTTAACGATTTAAAACTAACATATTTTGTGATTAATTTAGACAGACGATGAAAATTCTGATGCTATTTTAGAAGGAAAAATAATAGAAGTTGTCTTAAATAATGCGCAAGAGAGTATTCCCGGTAACTATACGAATATTTTTATTTCATATAAGCGTTAAATCTTCATATAGTAGCACTATCAAGATCACTGACATTGTTACGCATATAATGGGAAAATAGTCAGTTACTAGTGGAATAGATATTATTTTATCTTTTCTTATTTTAGATGATCCCGAATTTCTCTGTTCATTTGCCAGTATTCTATATGAATTTCGTCAGTTTAGTTTTGTTGAAGAGATTGTTAATAAAATTTATCGCATGTAAGTAATTGATATTTTTATGAATTACATAATACTATTTGCTGTTGATTTTATAGTTTAGAAGAAAAATATTCATCCGATGTTCTATCTCAAAATTTATTAGCTCAACGACCTTTACTAAAAGAAAAACAAATGATCGAAGAAGCAAGTAAAAAAGGACAAGATATCAGTAAGTATTTTTGGGATTGTGCTATTTTTTGAGAATAAATATGCGAAAAATGATTTGTTTTTACTAGGTTTTATGATTGCTGTTCTTGAACGTCAAGTTCATGAAAATTATGAAAATTTTCTCTCAACATCGAACAATGGTAATATAGAACATATTCATTTCTCATATGTATATCTATTACTGTCATTTATTGTTGATAGAAAAACTTTGGAATTCTTATATTGATTTTTGTTATAAACGTCTAAAAGAAGATGAGTTAGTATTACTCAAGGATGAGGTAAATATGAGAAATCATAATAAAATGAATAAGATTAAAAATGTATTTATTTTAGCGTTTGTCAGTCTATTATCAAACATTAACAAAAGCCGAACAAAAATTTTTGTTACCTTCTGACCGATATTTACAATGGGTAAGTAATAGTTTATCTGATTTGATAATAGACAGTTGATGTTTATTTTTTTCTTTAAGGTGATGCTATTAGAAGAAAATAATTTAGTAGAAAAGGCAAATGAAGTTATTCGTCGAGCAACCAATGACAAACATAAAGATAATGTTTTATTATGGAATGAACGTCTACGTTTACTACTGATTAAAACTGAAACGATACCAGTCAATCTAGCAATTGTAAAAGAAGAATTTTTGTTATCAATGAAACATTTAAAGAATAAAGTAAATTTACATATGAATGATTTCTTTATCTATTTCAATGTTGTTATGTTTTTTAAATAGAATTCTAGTATTATTTGGGATACTGTATTAGACTATGCCAAAGCTCATAGCAAAGAATGGACCGAAGAGTTATATCAGGTTAGTTTAGTTCATTATCACCTGTAAAGAAACGTATGATGTGTATAATATTTGAATATTTAGTTATCACAATCAGGTTCAATGGATTTGTCTATTTCATTGCATACAAAATCGAGTTATTTGCAATGGATCAATCAAACAAAATCAATAAAACATGTTCGAAAATTGTTTGATAAGTTCGTATAACTTTTTTCATATTTGACTCCATATCTATTGTATTTATCATTTTTAGATTATCTACTCAAATGCCAGCATCGTTACAATTTTATCTTGATTACATTGAAATTGAACAGTCACAAAAAGTAGGTATACAACTCACTTGTCTTCACTAACTTAAAATTATTGTTTATTTAAAGATGCCAATTCAAAAAGATCGTTTAAGCAATGCCTTTGAACAAGCAATCATCTATTTTGGAAAAACGTCAGCTGGTAAATATTAATTGTACAAAATATTTTAATTTCTATTTAATTTTTTTCTTTTTCTAGATTTATGGTTGCGTTATATTGAATATTTGAAACGTCATCAAACTCTCGATTTTTTATCAATATCACGTGTTTACAATCGCGCACTTCACACCCTGGAATCGAATGAATTTACACATTTCAAAAATCATTCGACGGTTTCAAATTTGACTGCAGATAATCAAGACCTATAAAACATCTTATTTTGTTTTATTTTCTGTTTTTGTTAAATGTGTGATTCGTTTTTTATTGTTTATAAAAGACAATTAGTTTCATGGTCTGTTTGAAATCAGTCATTGTCGATCGAAAAGAAATAACGTACTTTAATTGTTCCGCTGAAGAAAAAAACAACCACTTTTGCTAACAGTTTTTAATGAGAGATTTTTCACTAAAAATTTGAAAAGATCTTCAAGCAAATGCAAGAAAAAAGAGATTTTTCAAGCTATCATTCATTATTTTTTCTATGTTTTAGATTCGTATCCTTTGATTTCTTTGTTATTATGAGTTCATCTGACCATCACTGTTGTTCACATGATCATGATCATTCTGCCACAGCATCAGATACATCATCAAATGATAAACCGATACTCAAAAAATCAACTAGTGTGACAGATCAAAATATTGACGATGAAACAAAAACTGTCTCACAACTATTTGATATAGCTTGGAAAAATCAAAATGATTTACAAGATTCTCATATTGATACAACATCAGACGACTATGCAACAAAACTGTCAGAAGAAATACGTCTATTAAAACTACTAGAAGAACGAATACAATCGCTTGAGTTATTTAGTACAAATGAACATTATAATGAAATAACAACGAATAATATTCGTTATTTTTTAATCTATGCATTTCTTGGATGGTTATATCAAACAAAACGTTCAAAACCATCGGCACGTATTACCAATGTTCAACAAGCATGCGATTATTATAGAAAATTTCTCATGATAACAAAACAGTATTCCTTACATGAACATCAAATACCCGAACCACTTTCAATCGATGAAGGTCAAATTGATTCAAATCTGTCAGGTGACGTATCGACAGGAAATCGGAATATGACAACAATGGCGCAAGATCGAGCATACAAAATACGTAGGTAAAATAAAATTATTAATAAATTAATTAATTTATTTCGAAAGATATCACTTATCAACTTGTTGATAGCGAATACAAAAGTACTGTTCAAATTTATAGATGATTATTTTTTTCTATTCCGTATAGCCATATGAAACGTCGAGAAGAAGAAGAGGCAATGTATACCTATGAGAAAGCAATGAAACATGATACCACAGATGATGAAGCAAAACGAAATTTTTATCTCAGTAAAGTTCATTGGTGGATAAATGTGGTGATGATATTCATTGTTTATATGGTACCTTTTCTATTTGAAATAATAAAAGTTCTTTTCCTCTGAATGTCATCATTTATACTTATTTAGAGGAACTAAAGCTTCTTCAACAACGTGCTGTGTTGACCAATGATGAGAATATTTTACATCATCCACAAAAATCTACTCATCCATTAAAACCTATAATTTTAACACGTGATCAATTACAATCAAAAGTATTTGGAGCAGGTTATCCAAGTATGTCGACAATGACAGTAGATGAATTTTATCAAAATTTAACTAAACAAGGACTCATGCCGAGTGAAGAAGAACAGAAAACAATAAAGAACGGTACGAACTTTTTATAACTATTGACAATATTTATCATTTTTTCTTATTTCAGCTCCTATGACTTTTCCAACAGCAAGCGACATGGAAAAAGAAGTAGTTGCTAAAGAAGAATATGTTGAGAGAGATGATTCAGATATGATTCGATATTTACGTTCAAAGGATGAATTTAAAGATGATCATTTGCGTGGTGAAGGAAATCGAAAAAATCGTTCATAGATAGTTGTCTGATATTTATTTCTATTTTTTCTGTATATAAACGAATACAAGAGATCTTTTTTGGTTAACGTAAGACGTTATATTTATTTTAATATTTTTTTAAACTAAAATTTTCCGAACAGTTATGCGTTAATTTTTTAGTCTGCTGCATTATACAGAACTCGATTTCACATAGAAAAAAGAGATTCGTAGAGTTTATTATTAATGGTTACGCTTACTTTAGATTTGTAACAATAAACATTATGTTATTTTATTCATTTTTCAAATCTTTAGTTGGAAAAGATGTTGTTGTTGAATTAAAAAATGATCTAAGTATAGGTAAGTTGAATGATAATTATTACTTATCTTTAATTTCTGTAAATATTTCTCTGTTTCTTCTAGCTGGTACTCTTCATTCTGTTGATCAATATTTAAATGTTAAATTAACAGAAGTTCAAGTATTAGATCCTGAAAAATATCCTCATATACAATCAGTTAAACATTGTTTTATACGTGGATCAGTTATACGTTATATACAATTGCCACCAGACGATGTTGATACACAATTATTGCAAGAAGCAGCTCGTAAAGAAGTAACTCAAGGAAGAAAAGAATAAGAACATACATGAATACATACAAAGTTGAGTCTTCTTCGTGTAATTGATGTATGTAAATATGTTCTTGTTTTCTTTTTTATTAGTTTGTTCAAACAAAAAATAAATGTTAAAGATAGATCTTGAAGACGCTAAACAAGTTAAAACTTTTTCTTCAGTTATGTTTTACTGGAAATGCGTTGAGGATTAGCGGAAAGTTTAAACCATTTTGAACTTGAACTTCATACATTTTTCCAGTTTATTTTAGCATTTAGATTAAATGGAAAATTTATTTAGTAGAACTGAATAGGCAAACCCTTTTTTTTGCTACTATTTGAGTTTCTTAAAAGAAAAGGAAAACAATATAGCAGCAGTGTGTTGGTTTAGTTCGAGATAATGCATTACAGTAATGTAATTAGTCTGTTGTGGATTTAGTTATTTATGTACGAAGTGAGACAATGAATGACTACACTATAACAAACATACCATGATGTTTTATTTTTTACCATTATAATTGTAATTCACCCTTCTATTTTGATTTACGAGTCAATTAGACAGAGTACTTGTCTTCGTACTTGAATATCTCACTTTTTTCTTGTATGACAACAGATGATGAAAAAATGTATACGAGATTGTTTATAATTTGAAAATTTAATTGAAACAAATTTATACAATCTTCTTCAAATTTGAGTAACTAAATATAAAGATACGATAATGAACGTATGACTAATGCTTATGTGAGACAAATGAAGATCGTTGCTGCTTTATCATGTTTATCGGTACTCAAATATTATTTATACGAACATAATTCGCCGATGTTAGGTAAAAAACTATTTAGTTTCTTTTAATCATTATAAAAGAAATATAATAACAATTAATTAGAAGATTATCGACGACAACTATCGCGAACATTAATGAAAATTATAGCAAACGAACATCATACTCATCGCAACTGAAGTAAGAAACATTGATAAAATTGTAATGAAATTCTTGAATAAAAGAGTAATAATAATGTTAGTGATGAGTTTTTAGCGACAATACGTAAATTTTGGGAAAAATATAATATTCGGAGAAGAGAAAATTTTTTATCACTAGAGTGTGTTTGTTTGGTGAAACAATTCAACGAATTTTTAGTGTTGAAGTGTGACGAAAACGCGAATAGCTATATCCAAATTTTACTTGATAATAACAATAGTATAACACTAGGGGCACACTAGAGCCTTAATGACGATTAAAATTAATCATGATTAACGATTTTGTAGTGTGACCACATCCTTTTTTAATCATGATTAACACCATTTTAATCACGATTAAATAAACAATGTGACCGCGCTAATCATGATTAAAGGCTGATTCTCATTAAGAACAGCAAATAAATACGGAAAGTGCTCTAAAGTTGGCTTATTTTTCCGTCAGTCAAGTGAACGATGAACACTGTTACTTTACTAAACGTTTATTAAACAAAGAAAAGTATTTACAGCAAAAAGAGAAAACAGAAAAGAACATGTGTCGAGCCCCGATATGCTACTATTATTTCTTCCGTTGGTGAATTGTTTCACAAAAGCTGAACAATCTGTTTGGCAATGTCAGAGAAACAAAGAGTTTTTTGAAATCGAGATTCAGGAATTCGACGATGATACTTTCAAGGAAAATTTTCGTGTGAGTACATAAGTATTTCAATATTTGTTGACAGAAGTCGGTATGGATACGACAAAGCAAAACAAAATTGCGTCCAGCAATATCAGCACCTAAACGATTAGCTATTGCATTATACGCAACGGCATCAACAACCGAGTATCGTACGATCGCTAATTTGTTTAGAGTATCCAAGCCTAGTATAGTTAGCATCATCGTGATTAAGACTGTAGTGTGACTCTAGTGTAAGTGGTTGATGTGATTGCGAACAATTGTATTTATCAGAGAAGGATAAGCCCAGTGCTTTTCAGTCCGGTAGAGACTAAGTCCGATTCAGTTCCAGTCTGCTCTTTTTTCGCTAAAAATTTTCAGTCCCAGTTCGCTAAGCTTTAAGTTCGATGTCAGTCCCAGGATAGATTATTTTCTATTTTTTCATCAGAAAAACATTGCTTCTTCACATGGCTATAGTAACAAAACACGAAAACAACAAAATTGTGAACGTTAAAAAACAAGAACAAGGACTTTTGTTTCCTTTTCTTATATGAAAATGAAAAGAAAGCCTAATTCATACGAGAAAAGTTACATTTGAGTAAAGTAAAACGTGAGAGGTTTTTTTCGTCATTTTTGACCGATGTGGTCGTATAAGAAAACCAGATTAAGAGAATACTCTCTCAACCTGAACCGACGTGGTGGGCATGCATAGTATCTTTGTTGCTAGCGTGCATAACATCGGATATAGAGAAGATTTGTTGAAAATTAAACTACTATCTGTATCTTCTTCTTTCAAATAACACAAAAGTTTCTCAGCAATATCATTGTTCAGTATTGCTATAAAAAGTTTTTTGTTTTTTTAGACAGACGAGATTTAGTGTAAATCAGTTAGCAAAAAAAATACAGCTCATCTTAACCGACAACGCGGTGATATCAAGAGATAAAAGAGTGAACAGATTTCACAACATTGTGAACGGTTCAGTCACAGTTCGTGTGAAAAAGCTTTTATCATTCCGGACTTGGACTTGCTCATCTCTGGTCCTTATCATGCAATTAAACATCAATACCAAAATTTAATGAAAATAATTTATTGAAGACCTTAAATATTGAACAACAGTGATTAATTATTTTTAAAAATTATTTTGCAAATTTTAATAATATTAAGCAGCGTTTAGACGATGTAAGAAATTTGTAAAACATATATGACACTTTTATGTTGTTGGCGTTTGCATATCTGTCTTCTTTTCGTAGTATCGCTTTGTGTTTTTTAAAAAAAGTTAAAGCTAAAGTTATTTGCAGTAATACCGCTCTTCCAGGTAAAACCAGTTTAGTTTTATATCTGGTGGTTAAAGTGCCTTGTGGGAGTTCATTTAAAGCGTTTGAATTTCCTATTTTTTGGTCACATTGAAATGTATTGCAAAAAAAGCGAGAATTTATCGAGAGGATCAGTTGGTAGATAATTATTTTTTGATATTTGTTGATATAATAGAAAATCGATGTTGACTCATAGGTGCTATTGAATTTGGTTGATTCATGTTTAATATTTCGAAATCTGTTTCATAATCGTCATCATTTTCACGTAACATTCTACGTAATTTTTCTTCTCTTAAGCATCGTGAATACTCGGAGTTCATTTGTGTTATTGAATCTAATATAAGCTTCCACCCAGTTATGAATAAAAATAATGCCATTAACACTTGTACAAGATCATCTAAGTGAGCAAATTTATTTAAAAATGTAACACGATCCCACAATAGTAATGGAAAAACCATTATGATACCGATAATAGAGTTGAGTGCATCAGCCATCAATGCCGATGATTTTATTTGTTTACTGATAATTATTTTGATAATCGATAAGACAGTAAATACAATAATATGCGTCGTAGAATAAATAAATACAATCACATCTGGTCGTACATTTTGTGCTAATATCATATTTTGTATGGCTCTTGATTCAATAGCTAAAAACGATCCGATAAATAAAGCTCCAATAACGCAGCAAGCCAATCGATCACGACGATGCATGTCATTTAATGATGTCGCAGACAAATGCCACGAAACAAATGCTATACATAATGAATCCATTAGAGTATCAACCGAATATGAAAAACCCACAAACGATTTTGAACGTATACAGTTAACAAATGCTGTGACACCGAGTATAATGTCAAATATAAATGATAGAATACAACAAAGATAGGCTATCCGGCGTAATCGATGAAATTTTAGGTATGTTAATGAATCAGTGCCTAATAAACCTCGTCCAGTATGAAGGATGCTAAATTGTCGAGATGCTTGTTTTATATTACCACTGCTAGATATTGATGCGTGCAGTCGATACTCATTCAGTGGTGTAAGCAAGCCGGGAGATGATGATGATAAAGATAAAGAAGGATTCTTTTCGGATTTTGATAGATTATCATTGGCGATTAACTTATTATCGCTATTATCTGTTATTGTTACCAGTGGCAGTGAAGGCACATTCGATATGGTGTTTGAAGCTGCGTTACCAACTGCGAGATTTGCCATACGTATGTGTAGTTTTAGTTCTTACTTGTTACTGATAGTTAAGAATACTTTTTTCAATAGATATGCAAATTGTTGTCACTGTTAGTCATAATTAAGTACTATTTATATTTATTGAAAATATAGTATTTTTTGTATCTTACGTGATCAATTAGAATCCAGGATCCAATCTACTCTGAGGTGAAGGGGGATATGGAAGAGAGTAGTAAATAAACAAATACGTTCAACTTAATAAAACTATTGACTATTATTCTGGAATGTTTGAACAGTCAATACTGCTTCTTCATGCAAATTTTATTTTAATCGAAGAGATAACTGAACCATGACGATCACTTTCATTTAGCAAAGGCATGTGAGTGCACACATAAGTACATACACACAAGCGTGTTTTAATATAACACTGACGTAAGTTCACAAAAAATGCACGAAGAGCAGACGATGTAGAACAAGATAGTATACTAAATCAATTTGCAATCACAATCTTAAATATTAATTAAAATTTCAAAATATATAATTATGAACTTGGTCGAATCTATATCAATCATCAATAAAATTTGAAGATATGTGTGGTAAGCTTTTCGAATATATACATATAATATATGTAACTACTCATGTCTTAAATACCGGCAACTAACCGTCGGTATACTGCCGTCTAAAAGAAAACACCAGTCTATATACCGGCGGTAAATCGTGCGGTATTTTCAAAAGGTCGCCATTAAAAAACGAATATCACTGTTAGTTTTTCAAGCTTTTTGTTTTATTTTTAGACTGGCTGACAGTCACGCATGGGTATCGTCCCAAGTCGTCGAATAATTAATTTTTTCCAGACTTATCGACAATATTGGGGGGAGATGAAAGATTAGTAGGGCGCCGACACTATAAAATGTCGACGAAGTAGGAAAATCAACTAGATGCCAACTACCCTTTGGATCTTCTTGAGTTTTTAACTAGAGACCCAACTGCTCTGCGAGAAGATTGGAAACCCGACCGAGCGAAACGTTTCTTATAAATGCTTTAAACACCATTTGAATCCCTTACATACGGTTGGAACATTGCAGTGCTCTAGTAGTAAACATTTTGATGCATTCTATAGGTAGTAATGTTTTAGACTATAAATGCTTGAAGCTATACAGAAGTATAAACTGCCAAGTAGCACATGATTACTTAATGAGTCACTGTACACTGTTCATACTGAATGTATATGAAGTGACACATGACAATGGATATGTACTTTTTGATCACCAAATGTCTTTCTATTAAAATGATCACCAAAAAATAACATTTTTGAGCACCAAATCAATTAAAGAAAAATATATATAAGAAGAATAATTACCAAATTAATTAGTGGACAGACAACAAAAAGATGAAAAGTTTAATGTTTAATATTTGCCAAAATTGTCGATAGATTTAAAAGACCATACAAAATATTCGTTCAAATATAATAAGTATAGAAAGTATCCTTTTTGTCATATCAGGCATAGGTCGCATTCGCGGCGAAATTAACAGCATGTGTGTATAAGATGCTAGCATTTGCTGTGACAGGATTTTCTGAAGTTTATAATTTCTTCGCTCCATCACTCAACGCCTGCATCAAAACTCAGCTTTCTTTTTGTTTTCCGCACTTCACAAACACCCTTGGCTTGTTGTATAATACTCACAGTCAATCACCCTGCTTCCCACTCCGCAGCAGTTCCAGGAAATTTTCACAACAAGAAGAACAATTTATACGTCTATATTATGGATTCACACATTATGTTTTTTATTTCGCTGCGAAGCGGCTTTATAAATTTTTTTTAACTTCGCGAAGTCGCTTCATCGGACGATTTAGCTGTGTGTAATACTTTTGTGAAACTCTCTCCAAGTCTTCGCAGAAGACGGAGTTTCAGTTATACACTCAAAAACAGGTGTTATCATGTTTTTTTTTTAATCTATTTAAAATCTGATACCACTTTCGGTCACAACCTCTTAAAATGGTGGTTATAACCTTTTAACTGTCGGTCACAACCTCGTAGTCGATTGACTTATCTTGATCAATATAGGGAATTTTACCTTTTGGTACCGAACGTACCACCTTGACAAGGTTTTCATTCTTGCTTTTGAATATTCTTTTTGTTGCCTGTCCACTAATTAATTTGGTATTAAATTGGTTGTTTTTCTTATATATATTTTCTTTAACTGATTTGGTGCTCAAAAGTATTATTTTTTGGTGATCATTTTGATAGAAAGAAATTTGATGATCAAAACACACTTTCCTCGATGACAATTAATTATCTCATAGAAAATTTATTGAAAATATGCTCAACTCCTGTGACTAATTGGTTAATAATTGAAACAAAAAAAATAACTTCAGATGTGCCATGGCTACTGTACCACTATGTACTTTGACGAATCAGTGAGAGAAAGTTAGAAATCTTTTTATTTTTTGTCGTTATTATGTACTCCTTTAACCATCAAAACAAAAAGATGAACAACTTTTACACGGTGTGGTGTACCGAGCAGAATCCTTTGCACCGATGTGTGGAGAATACCTCCCGCTTACCGCCAATATATCGAGCGGTTTCAGCTTATACCACGTTAAGATGGTATTTTTGAGAACCGCGATTTACCGGTGGTTAACTAAAAATATTAGACATGGGTATATCGATACATGGAAAGATAGCGTTTTGAGCACGGTTTTTAGCTTGAAATGAGTATGGATATGTCTGTTTGGGTATAATCCGTACTCAATAAATCTTTTGGTACGGTTTTAATTAAAAAGATTACTCTAATCAAGGATAACAAATCTATTTTCTTATTGCTTTATTTCTTTTTTTTCAAACAACATTACAATTCATTCTGGTTGAGATACATTTCGAGAACTTTTCCCTTAGTTTTAGTAGGAAGGATTGATAACTATGCCTATAATTTCTTCATAAATTTAAACAAATACGTTTGCAAACATTCAGTCAGTCAAACGATGCATTTTGACCATTACATGATGATGACACCGCTAGTTTACAAGTTCTGGAGAAAGAAGGATGTCCAAAAAATTCTTTTAGGCTCTTTTTCGATGAAAAATTGCTGATATTCAGCAAACTCGAGCTTTTGCCTCTAGATTGACTATATCTATATGTGTATGGGTATCATTTGTACAGAATGCCAGCTCGACGTCAAGTTTGAGGTCCTCAACTGTAACCGTAACCGAGTTATGCTATTTTTAAGTTTTCCTTAGTAAATTTGCATATTTCCTGTACCAGAGGGTAGTGGAGGGGATCGATTTTCAGTTTTTTTGAATAGGAATGAAAATCATCTTGTCTAGATATTGTTCAGAGAGTGCGTTCAGAAAGTGCGTTTTTTGTAGAAAAAAAAAAGAAAGTGACAATCGGGAAAAATTTTATTATTCCTAGAACTAATAATTCTCTATAATAGTTTAAAAAAATTGGAGGAAAGTTTATTTTTTCTAAATTTTTTTAATTTAAACGGTACAATGTTAGCGCAAACCATTTATCTATACAAAAATAACCAGTTATAAGATTTTGTAGTGCTCGAGTAGGAGTAAGTGGCTATATTTGTCAAGTAGCGTAAATAGGTATTGATGTCGAAAAGTGTAACTGATCTTGCATAGAAGTCAATGTTCGTATACTAAAATATGTTCAAAACAATATTTGTTTGAGATTTATTCTACCAATGAATTTTATGAACAAAAACGTTTACAATAGAGTTAAAAGAAGAGAGAGTATACAATTCAAACTGTATTTGTTGCAACTAAAACACATCGATCATGTTCATCTAAATTTGATAAACGTATTTTGTCATATTTTGAATAAATAACTTCATTATAAATTTGAAATCCTAATTTACGAAATGCTTTTGATGAATATAAACTTGTTGCTTCAGAAAATACAGCCTTGATTCCTACTTGTTTTGCTCGTTCTAAACTTGAATGAATTAATTTTTCCGTTATTCTTAATCCACGATAACTTTCATCAATTGTGACAACGATTATGTGTAATAAAAGATCAGTATCAAACGTTTGAAAAAGATCAACATTATCATGGACACATTTTAACACTTTCAGTACGTAACGTACTTTTTCTGATTTAAATTGTGATCCATCCCATAGATTTGTTTCATCATTTTTGGATTCAATGACGCTCAGAATGACAGCAATAACCTTTTGTGTGGCTGTATCAATAGCAACATACGAACATTTATCCTGGAGAGCTATTTTAATTGCCAGATTTGTAAATTCAATTGGTTCATCTGGTAATTCAAAACATAAACATTTATTTAATGGTTCATCACGAAAGAATGAACCAGAAATAAGGGCAAATACTTCATTTGAGTATGCTTCGTTCATTAGACATAAATCCATCTGTGGTATGGGAAATATTTTTGAATGAGGTGTACCAGGACATGATGAATCAGAACTTGTTGATGATGTTCGGTCATCGAACGTTAAGTGGGGCTTGTTAATATGTTTTAACACTAAATTATTGTACATGTCGGACGGACAGATAATCTTAAATTAGTAAACAAAAAGTCATTAATTTGTCAAATTCAACATGATGATACAATGAAATCTGAATAAATGTTTCATTCAATCTTTTATATTCCTATACTTTCCGAAGTAAATATTTTTAAGAAGTCTCCAATCGGTAATGCGTATTTCACTCAACCAAAATTATACTTATCTTCTATACTGTTCTCTGTTTATAAGAATATTCTCCATCTAATGCAAGAGTGGAGTTTAAATGCTCATTGTTGTTTTTCTTACATTCCGGAATATGAAGCAAAATAAGAATACTTCAATGTCATTGAACTCTTCTAATAAAAAAAAAAGGAAAAATATTTCCTTCATCTATGGATTAGTGTGAGAGAAAAGTAATCTGTAGCTGTCTGTTTACAAAGATCGACACGTCAAAGAATATATGGATACGCAATAGAAGAAAAACAAAGTTAACTCGTGCTAGAAAAAAAACAAGAATAAAAGAGAAAAATCTTTTGAGCAAAAATAAGATTAAAATTTTCTTAATGCTTCTCTTATTTTTGATTAAAACTGCGATATTCACTATCTCTATATATTAATAATTTACTCTAGTTTGGAGAAAGAAATAGGTCATTATTCTCATTAAGGGGAAACTCTCCCTCACAAAATTGACTGTATGATAGAAAAATCGATTCTAAGTTTTGTTACATGAACAGATAGTCTTAAATGTTCTCTTTCCAAATCTGTGTTGCTATATATCCTACAGAGATACTGTAGAGATATCTTACTCTCTTCCAACAGTAATGCGATCGTCTATTGATATCCTCTATTCTGCTTGTAAAGAATCAATTCTCATGGGAAATGTTCACCATTCGACTTGGACTTCATTTCTATACTGTTGGGAGTTGTTCAAACTCAATGACGCACTGAGTCAGATCAAAACTTCGAGTGACCCTATAATTTTGCAGAGAAAAAGTCTAGTATATGGCTTATTTCATAAAGCTAAAATTCCCCACTGTATCCTATCCGATCTGAGTCTATAACACATTTTTGGACATAACACATACTGAAATTAGTAAAAAATACATCGGTTATAAGATCTAACAACAACAATAACAACAATAGTGACAATGCATGAGTAATATGGTTCAACGAAACAAAATGTATTGAAAATGTTATTATTTGTGATAGGAAACGACAACAACATCAGCAGTTGATCAACTAATTCAGCGAAAATTAAAGATAGATTATCGAACACTATCATTGCCTGCAAGATGAAAGTAAAAAAAGAGTATGAGATAGGATTGATTAATGACGATAAAGTTCGTAATCCTGCTTATAAAATTAGTTTATATATGATTGCATGCCCGCAAAAACCTATGTGTTAGTAAAGTCAGTCGTGAGAAACTTATAACAACAGTGAGACACAGCGGTATTAACGTGATGGTATGAGAATTTATTTTATTATTATGAGATTTTAAACAAAAAATTGTTAAAATCAGGGAAAAAAGAATATTTTAACGCGACAATCTAAACACTTAGCTGACTGAAAATTAGATGAAAGAAAAAACGCTTAAAACATCCGGTATCGGCACCGACGCAACAGTAAAGTTGGTCAATCCAATAGTTTGGAAATTATGGTATAAATATACGTAAGAAAAGACATCCAATAGAAAGTAAACAATGCTGTGAAATCACAAAAAAATATTTTTCTTTTATTGTTTGTACTCCACTATCAATTCTCATGCTTATTTATACAGATAGGATGAAAAATTTCAATATACACATTGCTGAGAATCCTCAATATAAATCCAATTTGATCAAGCAAATATTCTTTATCAAAAGCCGAATGTCAATGTGAGATGTACATTAGAATCTGTTTATACTTTAGCTCATAAACAGTACAAGAAAGATTTCAACATAATAGATTCTAACTATTCGATAATAAATGAATACACAGTTGGATCAGTATTATTATCGATGAAAAGAATCGAATAAGAAGAAAAATAAACTTGTAAAAAATCAAAAAAGCTAGTACAAAAAAATAGAAAGCAGTCATATCTCAAACCAGTCAAAGATAAATACCGGACTCTGCATCCGCCACAAATGTTTTTACATCAAGACTTAAAAATTGTATTAGAATTACTTATAAAAATTTTCTTTAAGTAAAATTAGAGGATTTATCTTTAATTTTATGATTTCGTCTGTCAAATTTACCGATATATTTATGTTAATTTAAACAATTTTTGCATGCAATTAAAACTACTTGTTTGCTTGGTGAATATTTAGTAAAAAGACTTGAAAAAATTGGCAAGTGTTTTCATAATTACTTACTCACTTGCTGACCTTTTACAAATACTTCTTCAAGATTGCACTACTAGGCTCTATGACTACGAAGTATTTTGTGAAAGCATTTGCAGTTTCATGTAACAAGTAGTTGTCAAGTGAGACAAGTACTTACAAGTAAATTTACGTCTAGAAAAAAGGGAAGTATCAGCTTCATTAAGCAAACGAAGCATTTATCTCAAGCACATTCACTCAAAAGCTTTTCAATTTTAATTGTTGGTATTGTATGAATAATTTTTTGGTTTGAAACCATCGGTACATTTTTATATATAAGTTTTTGTTTAAAACGATTATGAAGAAGAATTTGATTTGGAAAGTTGACTGAGAAAAGTTTTTTGTTGAATACAATGGTGTAGATCGTAACTCTGTGTGATATCAACATACAAAATGACATACTGAACAAAGAAAAAATATATACTGAGTAGCATCTACCTCTTCGATCATTAAAAATACGATTTTTATCTCATCATCAATAGGTTCTGTCCTATTGTTCTGGGAAGTCAAATTCAAAAAAGAATTTTATTTTCTTGTAGGAAAAAGAAAAACATAGAATATTCTCAATTCGGTTGAAGTGGAAAACCGTTCTGTGTATCACTATTGATTATGAAATGTTAATTTATTAACATTTGATTTAGATATCTATTTAGCTTTGCATAAATACTGGAGCATACTGTTGTCATTTCTCTGGATACGATGTAATTCTGAATGACTTATGTTTGTTTCAAAGATAAGGTTAATAACTGTAACTTTCAAAATCTAGTAAAAACTGGTTAATGAACATTTTTTTCTCTTCTTCTTTCTTCAGTTTTTATATGAATTCCTTCTGTTCTACATTTTTAGTTTTTCTTCAAATTTACAGAAAAATGAGAGAAGATATAAATACATTCAGATATATATATGTGTTTGTGTATGTATGTGTGTGTATGTTTGTGTGGATTTGAATTTTTCATGGCGTTTTCCAGTTTGATTTATTTAGTGAATATTACTGATATTTGACATCATCGGTTTTGTTCTATTCTCATTAGAAGTACGAATGATTATATTGTGCAAAATAAAAAATATAATTGTAGTATGTACACATATTTTGATAATCAGAACTCTGAAACAATCGATTGTTCAAACAGTAGATATTTCCAGACAGTAATCGGACGTAAATATCTACATTTTTCAAAGTTTATAAACAGATTTTTGCTGTTAGATAATATCTGTTGTATGGCTCTTTTTCTAGGTCTTTCGCATAGATCGGATCCACAAAAAATATATTACTTACGAATACGTAAACGTAATCTTGAACAATATTGATATATTTAAAGATGATTTTACAATAAAATGTAAATTTTGAAGAAAGCATATAGCTAACTAAATAACGGCTTGTATTTTTTATTGAGCACAGTTAAAGATCAGGAATTTTACTCAACTGTACGACTGATTAAAAAAAATAATTTTCTCGGTATATTTCTATGGTTATTAGATAAATGTAATTTTAGCATGTATACACATAAGATTTTAAACTACATAGTTTTTAGCGTTGTTACTCTATTACTTCTGTGTGTTTTTTTGTTTTAGTTAAGAATCAAATTGACAAAGCTAAAAATGATTATTACAAATGCTAATACTGTTAACGTTCCGTTGATTCAAAGTATGCACATAATGACGTCTTTATAATGTCTTATTTTTTTCTTTATTTATAGCCAGTTGCATGAAAACTGAATTTGATTCTACTTATCCATCAAGTTTAAATGGTATTATCACATCCCAAGATTTTTACAAGTCAATAACGCATATTAATCGTGTATTGTTGCCTCCGACTCTATTCCGTGCTGCATTATATTTTATACCATTATGGATGATTGTCGGATTTTTACTCTTTGCAATTACCGGAGTACGAGCCGCTGTTAAACACGAGTCAGGATTTCCAACCATCGTTGTTGTCGGATTTGTGATGTGGTATCATCTTTAACTTTTTTTGTCTTCCGAACAAGTCTTCCTCTTTTCCTTCATTAAGGGGCACGGGTATTGTATTGACGGGTTTTGGTTGTGTATTAATCCAAAGCCAACGTCTACAACAACTTCGAAAAGCCGTTGCATGCGAATCAGCTAAATATTCATCGTCGGAAAAACCGTGTACTTGGCGACTTGATACAATACCAGGGTGGAGAACAAGACATCTCTCATATACTGTAAGTACACCAACTGGTCTTTGATGGGGATGGAGTTAATTCATCTACGGAAATAGACCTATTCATACACAGAGAGAACTTCTATAGAGTATTCGCTATAACTAATGTTGTTATTCCTTCACTCTCTCTATTCTCACATAATGCTTCATCACTCTATTTTCTTCTTCTTTTATATCTAGTTAAAGATTGATATTGAATCGAACGTTATTCCAACTTACGTCGTTTATCAAAATGTTTATCCACTCTCAAACTATTCAGATACTCCTCCTGCTTATCAACAATATGACCAGTATGGTACAGATGCGGCACAATCTGTGCTATATTATAATAATAGTAAACCACAAAATAAGCAAGAAGTTGAGCAACAACAGACTGTTACTTATTGTTCGCAGTGCGACGTAGCACGTAAAAATTCTAGTGCAAAATTTTGTACATCATGCGGACAACTATTCAAATATTGAGCATGTTCACTTTATTCCTTGAAATTAGTTTCATTTTTATGCATTTTGCGACGTGAACTTTTCGTATTAAAAACTTGTGCAAAGTAGTGTTGGATGCTAGATGATCGTTATTCTAAACTAATTGTGATGATATCCAGGAGGGAGTTTTATAAAAATTCACACTTAACTTTCCGTTTTGTACACTTACATATTAATGGTATACACTAAAGTCTGACTTAAGTCTAGACTTAGTTAAGTCGAGCACTTAAGAATTTTTATGAAACACCCTCCAGTTACATAAAAGTTCAAAGAAACAAAAAAGTACCATTATCTTTAGAGACTGAGAGATAAATTCTCTTAAAATGGGTTCTACTGGAATGAGATCAATATTTAATTCTTAAACATGTTCTTTACTGGCATTGAAATATACTGGCCATTAGCCAGATCCTCGATCTGACTCAATAAACTGCTAGAAATTGTGCAGATTAGAGAGTCTTATTGTCTAAACCCGTTTGTTATGAAACAATTGTTCATCAATTTTTAAACATCGATATTTAAAAAATAATATTTATATAATAAATCGATAAACCACACACAGCATCGACTAAAAGTTGATTTTAAGAATATATATGAGACAAGAATTTCGTTTTTTTTCTGATTTTTAAAGGTATCGAGTTGACAATCCTGACATAGTTACCCATCCTCTCTTTTTTACTACTTTTTCTGGATCTCTCATACGAAACAATTATATACCTATATTTCTTTGCGCAACAAGTTGATTGTAGCGCTGTGGAAAAAAAAAGTCTACCACAGCTATATGGATAAAATTACGGTTGTAAAACTCCCTACATTTCTGTTTCTTCAAGCAAACACGAAACAACGCTGATCAAAAAAAATTAATTAAGAGAAGAGAAGTCTATCATGGTAACAAAACAAAGGGCGGGAACTTAATATAATTTTCTGTTAGACGACACTAGGTTTAAAAGCTAGTCGTGTGGCAGTATAATCATAATGAACTTACGTTGATACTAACGAATTATGCGCAGCTTTTTCGCCTAGTGTAACCAAATTTCGTTTTATTCAGAATAAATGAATACCACTTAATTTATTTCAAAATTTCTAACACTAGGTTCCTATTCACTAGCTATTATATTTTCAGGTGTATTTGCTTTACAAAGCTGTAGACATCCTTTCATACTATATATTTATTTTCTGAAAATAAATAGCTTCTAGTATGCTAATCCACAACTCCTTTCATATTTGTTTAGCTACTGCGTTATTTTTAGAGAGTATTTTAAAGACATTTAGAAGTGAATACTGTTTATGCTTCATCTGCGGTGAAGTAGACTACTTCATCTCTTTTTTATTTGATTTTTGCTTTCTCAAATAATCACAACGTATTTTATCGTACGTTAGTTATCATTTGTGCTTACTGTATGATCATGTTGCATTATTGATACTCTAAAAAGATTTAACAAAATTTTCAGATTCTGATCAGATTTTACTGATGAATTAAGTGTATAAATATGATTGTTTATTTACTCATATTGATAGAAAATACATAGATATGTTTGCATTCAACAAATATTATGGACGACAAAGCATTTCATCTGTAAGTATAAATCTTATATACTGAAGCATTCGAGTTTATGTTTTTCTGGTTAGTGATTGAGTTTCAATAAAAAAATTTGCATATAATATTCGAGTTATGAGTTACGTTTGTTACGTAGTTCATCAGCTAAGTACTAAAACGATCGTTTCAAAGTTATTAATTTAGTATGACCTTATTTGTTCTGACGCTCCCGCAGTAGATGGAAATACACTGCCGCTATTTGATATTAGATGTTGATGGATAAACTGTAACCCATTGTTTGATGTCAAATACTGCTTTGTTTCTAGTTTACCGATTCATCATCTATCTCTCATTTTTCAACATCATCTGATAACGATAACTATCATTCAAACATCCTTAATGATAAAAAACTGTCATTGGATTCTAAAGAAGTAAAAGAAGGGCAAAATGAATCAACTTCATCATCACCTTCATTGATATCACGTCTAGTATTACCATTACATAATAAACGATGGAAAAGACGAAATAAGAAATATGGAAAAGTAAATCAGCAGCATACATTGTTGTCAATACAATCGACAGGGATGGACACAGATGAGGTAACACATGAATAATGTCGTTTCATTTTGTTTATCGAACTTTTTTTTGTTTAGATAGATAATTTTTCTGTTGATTTGCATTATAAAAATGCTTTATCTTCTTACAAATTACAATTATCAAAGTACCTCGGTGTTTCATTTCACTTCTAAACATTTAAAAGTTTTGTTTTGTCCTCTTTTTATAGGATAAATGGTAATCGAAAACTAGAAGCTGATTTGAATTCATTCATTGCTTGTACAATAGCCGTATTAGGAGAATACGATGATGCTATCGGATGGTTTATCAAATATTTAAGATTAACAACAGAAATGCAGAATAAAGTAAGAGAAACTTTTATAACGTTGATATATTTCGTTCGAATTTTGTATAACTTTTGGATCATCAAAATAATCATTCCAAAAATGACAATTGTTCCTTGTTTTTAGTATGACAAATCAATGGCCTATTATTATTTGGGTCTTATGTATCATTACAAAGCAAAATTCATGCTTAGGAATTCTTTCAAACTAAATAATGAAATAAGAAGTCTTCTACAAGTTTCATTACTATACTACGGGTATGTGTTCATCATTATTCTCCAGTTTTGTTCCTGAACATAGGCGACGTCATCTTGGTTTCTCTCTTTGTAGCTATTCTTTCATTTGCTTCCATCAGTACAACACGATTTTTTATAATATTTAGACAAAATTCGGACCTTGCAAAAGAATTAAAAGATCAAATTGGAGAAGCTCGTGCTTATGGAAATATTGGAAACATTTACTGTTTATTAGAAAATCATTCAGCATCAATTAACTATTTTACGAAAGTAAATAAAATATAAATTTTCTTTTATGTAAAATAACTATTTCTTTATCTATTTTCTTCAAGCGTTTAGAAATAGCCAAACGGTGTCATGATAAAGAAGGAGAACGTCGAGCACATGGAAATTTAGGAAATGCTTATTTGAAATTGAACAATTTTGAAAAAGCATTAATTCATTATAGGTTCGTTTTTGTTTTGATTAGAAAGAATAGACTTCTTTATTGAATTTGTTTTTAGAGAAGCAATGGATATTGATATTGTACCGTTTACAGAAACTGTATATACAGGTCCCATTTATTCATTGAAACAAGATTATGATCGATCAATATATTGTCATCAATTTCTTTGTCGAATGGAAGAGACATCTTTTAGAAATCAGCGTTTCCAAATAACAAAGAGCGATAGACTCTCAATGTTAGTACGTATGCAGAGTAATGTTTCTAATAAAATAAATAAACAAAAAGATGAACAAACGAGTCAACCATTTTTGGATCAATTAATGAAATGTCAGGTAACTATATTTTAGTAACAGTAAAAATCACTTTGGCGAACGGTTTTGCTAATACAAAATACTTTAAAACGAGTAGTTCACTTTCTCTTATTCTCTAAACTATAGTTAGTCCTTATTGTAGCTGATTCCTTCTAATGACGTCTTTGAAATTGCCTGTTGACGTATTTATTCATCGGCTTATATTTTTCTTTTTTTTCTTAAGAAATCAAGATATGAAGATCAACGCGCTGTTCTACCACCATTACGAACAGACAATGATTGTTTTCCGAATAAAAAATTCATTTCAAAAACAGAAAATAACGATGATCTTTTTTCGTTATTAGAGCGTGCTCAATCGAGACGTATAAATGATCAACGTTCATATTTACCATCATTTGATTTAAAATAAGACTACTTATCTAATAATAAATACATACAAAACGAACTTTAATTTAATTAAGATTAATATACTGTTTTGGATGAAAACTACTTGTGTGTGTGTGTACCTTTTCAACTGCGCTTTTGATTTATTGTGTATAACAATTTCCATTTCAATTAATTTATTTTTCACTTCTTGCAGTATTCTAAAAATGTGTATGTATAATGTTTTATTTATTTTTTTATACGAAGATCTATCTATAAATTGCTCTTTTACATTGTATCAGAAGGTGTAATAAATATTCTGAAACATATTGTCCCTTCTCTCTCTCTTTCTCTGATTCGATTAAATTTAACTCATGTGTAGAATTGAAGCATCACTTGTACTCTTCTAGTAAATCTCGAATAGCTTGATGCACGTTGTAGAAGAGCAGATCTTGTTCTGTTAGCGAGAACATCTTACATACTTTCGAATTTTGGAAGAAAGAATTTTGTATAGTCTTAACGACTGCTTTTTTTCCCAGTACAATTTGATTCAGATTATTCAGATCATGCTTTGTACCTTATCAACGCTTATCTTTTTCGGCTTTGTCGAAGGTAATTTTTTTTCTTGTTAGACTTATTTTTATTCGTTAAACGAATATTAACGATAGACAGACAAAAAAAAACCCGCTAATATGTGTATAAAAAGACTAGGTAAATTGAAACGGTAAAAACGGAACTATTTTAACATTTCTAAAATGCCAAGCAAAACGGTAAAAAAAAACTATAACAAAACTAGAACTAATAAATAAAATGTCAAGTTCAAGTGAATGATGATAGTTGTTGTTTATTGAACTGCGTTTTGTATCATTTTCGCTTGAAAAATTAATTGACGTCTATCTTTGTTATTTTTCAATCCATCTTGAACAAAATTTTCACAAAATGTGCGTATTTCCTGTAAATAGTAGAAAAAATTATAGAACATAAATCGTATGAACTAAATCAACAAATAACTTACATCATTATCATCATCACATTCTGGAATTGTTGAATCTGCTTTTTTCGCTCCTTTTTGAACATTTTCTCTTCCACCACAATTTGTATTCAACCATTGTGTCAATTTAGGTTCGGTATTACTTCTATCTCGAACATCACCAAGTGCTCCATCAGCTCGTCCACCTGTAAATAAAAATAGATGAATATTTGACGTTATTATTCGGCTTCATTTGATTTAAACTCACCATAATGAACTGGAACGTTGATTCTGCAATAGTCTTTCTCACAACAAGCTTGTACACGACCGGATGCAGAACATTCATAATTTGGTACTTCACGTCGAGGAGACGGTACAACTGAATAAACTTTTCCATTGGCATATTGGAATGAAAACTGTAAATCGACAAAATCATGTAATAAAATATAATCGCAAGCTGGATTCAAATAGATATAATCACCATGTAAATCAATACCATGACCACTTGAAGTTATGACAGCTACTCGTTCTGGTGTTAATGATGGATTACGCTGAAATAAACGTTTGCCAATAGCTTTGATGAATTTTCTGTATGAACGAATAGTTTCACGGCGTGATGCAAAGAATTCGGATATAACGGCACTAACGGTAACATTCATGCGTTTTCGATTTGATAGTAAACTTAATACACTCGCAACGGATATTGGTAAACTATTATATGTTGCTGGACTAGTACCATACGGTAATAATACTTCAAATTGTGTTTCATTTATCATCAACTAAAGTTTTAAAATAGTTACACTTGGTTAGTTACACTGTCACAAATTAAGAAGAGTCGGATGGTAGTTTTAGACTTACTTTTGGTATATGTCGAATAGCATTTCTTAAACGATTTCTAAATTGTTCACGTCTTTGGCTTATACCTCTTGATAATTTCACTACATTACTGGTAAGCAATTTGGATGAATCGCTAAGTCGTTTAAACATTTTAGTTGATTCAGTATCCATTGCTAGAACAGAGAAAGAGTTGTGCATGGATTATCCTACATTTTTTTATTAGTACGGCCGATCCAATCGTGGCGGAATCACGTTTCTTCATTTTAAATTTGATTTTTCTCGGTCATTTTAAAAGACGAAGAGTCAGAATTTTTTTCTACATGTGTACGACCATGTACTCTACAATACGATGATGCTATCGGATGGTTTATCAAATATTTAAGATTAACAACAGAAATGCAGAATAAAGCAGAATAAAATATTCAGTTTGATTGCACAGCTTCGATTTTATTACATCTGGTAAATTCAGGACAACTTAAAAAGACAAAAAATGAGAAAAGAAAGACGATGTTTTTTCGTAAAAACAAACTTGGTCGATGATGTGCGATTCCGCCACGCTGTTTCATTTTAACAAAAAATATTTGAGTCAAAACAAATCAGTGCATTAGATAGAGCGCGAAAAACTGTTATTAGGAAGGTGACTTGATCTTCTTCAAAGATCACAAGTGTGACAAAAATAAAACTGCGGAGAAATTTCGTGGCAGAATCACGTGTTCAAAATACCACGTTTACACATTCAGATGTCTCAGTCATCTGAGCACAGAAATTAATTTCTTTTACGAGAAAAATAAGTTTATCTGTTCTACTTTTGACCCGAGTCACAAATGGAACACAGCAACAACCAACTTTTGTCCCGAATAAAAATTAAAAAACACAGCGATGCGCTGTTATTTTACGGTTCAAGATGCCATTTGTTTAGAAGTCTTTTTCTCTAAAAAAATGAACCCGAAACGACGATCGGAGAATGCGCTTTTATACATTATTGACTATCCTCTACAACATGGTAGTGTTACTTTCAGCCGCATTTGCACTCAACTTTGACATAAAAGTCTACCATTACGTGGACTGACCGAGTATTACCTGAGTTCATGGCCGCTGAATCAATATCAGCAATCAATTGTCGAAACCATTTCATATCGTCACCTTTTGTTGACTCATCAATTTGTTTAAATATTGCTTTCCATCGATCATTTGTTCGTTGAACAATTCCTTGAAATCCTTGTAACAGATTTTGAATTGTCTGTTCAACTCGTTTATCAATTTGTGCTTGATCTTCTACAGGCATTGTTCGATTTAATATACCTTCTAAACGTGCGGATAATCTTTCAATTAATTTATTACGTCCTTGATTAAATCTCGTTGATAAATCGAATAAACGTTGACTTGTGTTAGATGATACCACCATTTTTAGCAAACGTTCCATACGTTCTTGATGACGTTCTGATATTGCTTGTTGAGCATTATTACTAAAATCTCTGTATGTGGGATATTTTGTAAAAAATTCTGTTAATCCAATAGTTTCGCTGAAAGAAGAATGAAAAACGTAAATAAAAGATTAGTGAATTATCAAAATGAACTGACCTTAATCGTCGTAATACACTTTTTTCCGGTTCTTTACTCCAATTTTGTACAATTTGTTTAACAGCAGCATAATCTACTTGAAATATATCACGAAGTGATTCACGTAGACCTTTTACCAATTGTACCGCGTTACTGGTTTTAACACCTTTAAATTCTTGAACCAAATATGATCGTGTCTGATTCTAAAATACAAATAACAAAAATATGAAGAAGGATTTTTGTGTTTTAAGCCAAATACTCACACGTAATTCTTTTGCTGTTGTAGGATTTCTAATACCTTTCGAATGGAAAAAGTACAACATTCCCACTTTATGGGCATAATCTCGATCTAAACTCAAATCGGTGGTCAATGTTTTACTACCATCAATACTATGTCCAATTTCATTAATATAATGTGTTTCATCCCATTTTTTTGCACTCAATTGTATAAAATTTTTATTTTCATTGTTATATAATCGTAGTATATAACTTTCGGGAAATGATATATCATCAAAATGTGTTTTCCAATGTTGTGTATTATACAATGATAATGATTTTTCACCCAATTCTAAATTAAAACGTTTTTTAATTATATCTAAACCTTTTCCATGATGTGCGCCAAATTTTTCTGTTGCTTGTGATAAACGCACGACAACTGCTGGATCAACAACTATTTCGAATAATGGAATATTGGCTATTTTTGTTTGTGGTTCTTGATCAATATCCAAATCAGGTATATTACGACTACGTAAATTGGGTAAATAGCGTCTTAGTGTCTTTCTATCAAGTGTTACTGTTAATAGATTACGTTGTTGTGGTTGTGTTTGTTGTAACTGAATCGTTGTTGCATTATCCCATGTTAATTTCAAATTGATATTTTTTGGTAAGAATTTTACTTCTATTTCCTGATTACTCACTCTTTTTCCTTCAACACGATAAACTTCTTTGCCTTTTTGTTTAACAGTGATTGTTGTCCATTTTTGTGGTTGACGTTGTAATTTCCATGTATTGACAAACGTGTATAATGTCACATCAACCTGATTTGTTCCTGTGTTGACTGCTGATTCAAATCCTACACGTTCATCGTCATATTTATTCAAATCAACGTAAGCATTTCTAATATGTTTAGGTCCATCAATATTAATTGTTAATTTTGTACGTTCACCATTACAATTGACATTCAATACATTATCGGCTGGTTTTTCTACAGCGCATGTATACGTTTTCTCAGCATTTTTATCGTTTGCATTAAATGAATATTTTAATGTACCGCTGTAGGATGTTCTGGTTTTGCTTGTTTCATCATATTTGATTGATATTGGATCATTACGTGGTAATTTACCTGTCACTGTGATGCCCATTGTTTTTGAATCTGTTCGTGGTTGAAGAGATAAATTCAATTCAATTGAATCTTCTTTTAATCGGTTTAAATCGAACACTATTGTATGTGGACCGAGATTTGGATCATGTTTAAGATCTAAGTCGAATGTACCATCATAGTTGACAACTTGAACATTGGCTAATTTTGGATCATCAGGAAGCATCAATCGTTTACGAAAAAGTTGTGCTAACTGACTATTTGTTTTTACATCAAATGTTGACTTTCGACAAATACCATAGACAACTTTTGATGGATTGGATAAACAACTGGTCGATTTACTAGACCAATCGATTTGTTTTACACCTTTTAAGAGAGCATGGAGATTAGTTTGAAAACTTGGCATAAAAATTATTATATCACGTACCTTTACGATCTAAAGAGAAGCTCAACGTTCGTTGTTCACTACCCTCACGTTTGTCGGCGATATCCGATTTATAATCAAGTTTTAAATTTGCCACTTTCTCACCGGTTTTATCATCATTGAAATATGTTTTGAATGATAACGCATTCCATTTTCCATCATCTTTTGTTCCTGAACCGTCATAATGAAACTCTGATTTACTAATTAAAAGTTTAGCGTCCACTTTTGTTTTCGATGTGAAGTCGTCTGTTTTCAATTGTCCAGTATGAGTATGATCAACGGTGATGGAGATGGCTTCCGGAACATTCATATTCCATTTTACCGATGATTTTCCCCAGCTGATATCAAAATTACCCTTTTTACCTCTTTGATCATTTGTCGTTTTAACAACAGCGTCACCCGAATAACAGTAGCCTTTACCTTTGTTATTACCACCGCATGTTTTAGCTGTGACATCAAGATCAATTGTTTGTTGCATATCTGTTCGTTGAATATGACCAATTAATTCATTATCATCGAATGTCGCACTTATGTTGTATTTGAAAAACGGTCTATTGGTATTGTTAGGCGTTCTAACTTCACCTTTAATACTAATTTCATGGTGTTTATATAGGGCATTCACTGATTTTTCAAATATTTGACCGAAATAACGACCATTTACTTTTGATGTTAACTGACTAATACCGGTTGTTGAGCATTGTGCAGAAATCAAGGCGGTTACCGATGCATCGTCACCCAAACTAGCTGAACTCAGAATATTGAATGCTGATGCCAATGAACCACTTGAATCCCAATCAAAACTAAATGATCGACCACGCTAAACAGAAATTAACGAAAAACAAGTCAGGTTTTGAGCATATCAGCTCATTTTTATTTTTTTCATGCACCTATTTTTAACTGATGCTATATGTACGCAGTCATACCGTATTTGTTTAATATCTCTTAGATCTATACAATTTACCTGTAAGGCCAATTCAACTGAAAATTTGCCATCGATACTTCTGTTTGTCTGAAATATAGCTGGTATATCATATTTTAATTTTAACGCTGCTTTATTCGTTAACGGTGTACCCAATTCTAAATGTACTCCAAATTCCTTTGGTAATCTCGATTTTCCTAAACGGTTTTCTTTATCGATTGTCAATTCACCAATCACCGTTAGACCATTTGATTTTGTTAACATCGGCGATTCAATCGAGAAGGCAGCGCGTTTTGTTTTTTTTGATAATTCATATCCAATATCATGCGAAAATAAAAGATCAGCATTTCGTCTTAATTCACCACATGTTCTCACAGTTTTCCATCGTTGCAATCCAAATCCCAAACGTAGTACATAATCATCGTCATTTCGTTGACAGGTGACGAGACTGTCAGCTGTAACATACGGTGGTCTATCTTCTTCTCTTGTTACACCAATGTCTAAATTATGTGAAAATAATGGTTGAGCATTTGTTTTTGATGTTACTCGAGTTATTCCTCCTCGTGCAGTTCGTTCAACTACAATATCATTCGATATTAATGATACACGTTGTAATGGTAATAATAACTCAGCATGTGATTTAGTAAATTGTCGAGATGAATCAAAATTAATATCAACATTTAAATCAATTTCTTTCAATGTATTATTCACTTTCCATGCAATGGATTTTTCAATATTAATAATTTCTTTTGATAATTGCAGTATACCACTGACATCGAGATATTGGAAACCACTTGTTCGTTTTGATGCTAATGTTAAATTGAAATCGACTCCTCTCGATCCGCTCGTCAACTCACGACGGTGACGTTGTTTCATAGATTGTTGTTGAGGACCACTTTTACGTATTTCAAAATCTAATTGTATATTATCTTTGTCCCAATTTGTATCAATATCTGAATGAACTCTTAACGATTTTGCTCGTGTACATATGGAAAATGTGTCTTTCGTTGTTATTTGACCTGTTTTTGAATTCCAATGGATGTTTGCTGAACCTGTACCGTTGTATAAATGATCCATTGTTACTTTATTCACTTTACTAGTGTAAGTCAGTTCAGCATCGCGTTGTGTTCGTTTATTGACATATTTAAATGTGTAATCTAATTCATTCAAATATTGCCAATTAAATTGAGATAACACATCTACATCAACGGGACGGGGTGTATTGGGAAACAATTTGTTTGTAGCAATTGCCACATGAATTTTATTATTAATTTCGAACGTGGGTGCCTGCATAATATCACCTTTTTTTGCTGGCTGGTCACTTTTTTTATGATGATGATCTAGTAAGAGGCCTAATACTTGTGATTTTGTTTTCAATTCGACTTTCAAATCGGCTTGAGGTGATACTAAACGTCGATCTTGACTGGATGGACGAACAGAACGTCGAACATAATCAAATTCTATATGTTCTTGAACAGATGGTTGACGTGTGACTAAGTCTAAATCTAATGTACTATGAATGATAAAATTTCGATGGTCCAATGCACGTTTTATTTGACAATCAAAATCGTACACTTTCACAGGTTGATCTGATTGTGGTGATCTAATTGTTAGATGTGATTGTATATCATGTTCACGTTGTGCTTCGCCTTGTTTTGGTTTTTTACGACTATAAACAAAATCGTAGCCAGATATTTTACCAGTTTTTAATTTAACTGTACGTTTTAGCTCAATTTTTGTTGTACTTGAATCATTTTGTAAATGGACTTTTCCATCATAACTAATGTCAGGCAAATTGAAACCACCACTTAAATGAAATAATTTCGAATTGGTTTTATAAAAATCACCATCAACTAAAAGCAAAAATCACTTATTAAATAACATCAAATACGATTCCTAAAATACTTACAATGAATATTGAATGTTTTTTTTTGATCAGGTGTACCAAGTTTAACATCAACTTTAATTTCTCGTGTGTTCGATGAACTTAAATCCGTTGTTAACGTTAATATTTCTTTTTTACTTTGATTATCTGTTAATTTCACATCCAATTTTAATTGATCATTGCCAGTTGTCAACGTTCCACTAGCACCCATGACTTCTTTGTTTTTGTCATCGTACACTTTTCCATCGAATTGATTAGCATTCTGTGTTCCTAAAACAGATGGATATGAGTGTAATTTCTTTTTACTATTAAATATTTTCTATTCATACCTTTGACATTAAATGATTTCATTCCTGTTAAAACTTCAATATCAAAATTATTGCCAGTTTTTGTTGCTTTAACACCGAGACCAGGATATGTCGTAGCACCCAATTTTTCCAAACCAACTTCATATTGTGGACTGTTATTTTCATTTACACGCCATGCTGCTCGCCATGCTTTTATCGATGGATCTTTACGAATTTGAATCTTTAACAGAAGATAGATTTAGAGGCCGTTTTTAAAATGTAACTAATATATACCTGAAGTGGATAAACAACACGTCCGAGTTTTATTGATCTGAATGGATTCAATTTCAAACAAATATTTGCTCCAACAACACGATAGACACTACTAGGTAAACAGGATGGATCAAGTGCCGCTGCTGGCGGATTAACAAGTCGTTTTAGACCTTTCGATGTACGAATGGCATAGTCAAAACTAAAAGATAAGATATAATACAATTAATGAGATAAAATCACAAAATAAACTTACTCCGTTGAAAGAAGTGTTGACTCTGTATTAAGAAGATTAAATTCTCGTGATCGACCATTTTTTGTTCCTTCGTATCGATATTCGAATGGTACACTTGATAAACCAGCATAATTCATTGTTTCACCGACTCTAGACCATGGTGCAGCTACTTCACGTTGACATGTTAACGAAAAACTCAATCTAAAATTAAAAGAAACTGTTTACACTAAAATTCATTAAAAATATGATAAACTAACTTACGCTCCAGTATTCTTGAGTGAAAACTTGCCAACATTAGTTGCATCACGAGTATTTTCTAAACCATATGACAAATCACCGAGAAATCCAACTTGACATGATTTATGAAGTGTTAGACCATTTGATGCACCAATGGCTGCACCAACTTCTAACGGTATTCGAAACAGAGGTTTTTTATCCGCTATATCTTTCATGCTGTTCATCAATTGATTTCTTATAAATGTTCGTAAATTTGTTTTCAATACATCTTGAACTTTATCTGTAATATCTTTGACACGTAGATCCGCACCAAAAAATTTCAAATACAAATGAACAGACGGATCAGGATCTTCCTCTTGATCACGTTTCTACGAAAAAATACCAATTAATATCAAATTTGATATGACTTAAAGTAATATATCGATACCTCTTGTAATCTTTTCAAGGGAGATGGTAAAGTATTTTTTACTTTTTCTTTTTCTTCCGGAGTTGTATTATTTGCCAATGGATCTAATCTTATTAAATACTCAGCTAAATTCCAATCAAGATTTTCAATGATGACAGCAAAATCGATCCATGTTACACGGGACGTGTCAACTTTGATCCCATCGAAACAAATTTTTGCTGATAGAAATGCTGGTGTTGCACGATCATTTTCAAATATTGCTTGTAAATCAATTTTAGCTATAAACTTACGTCCAACAGGTAAACTAAGTTTTACCTCACGTGATGTAAACGTGCCAATTTGTGAATATTGATCACGTGGTGCAGTTGCACGAAGACGAGCGGCAATACCACGTAATGGACAAAGACGATCGGTTGCCGAATATTTTAATTTTGACCAGATGAAACCGTTCACCTATTTTAAAGTAGTTCATGTTGATAAAAAAGCTTATACAATTAATAAAATATTTTGTAAATACCTGATTTAATTTTTCTTTGAGTAAATCACCAATTGCATCTTCGAGTTTATCGGCAGTATCCGGATTTAATTGCGGATTATAGAAAAGCGGTGTAAATAATGCTTGAAATGACCATATACGAACAGCATTTTTATTTGATTTATTTTGTAATTTTTTCGTTAGTATATCAGCGAGACTGCGACTAAATGTTTTTTCTTCATTATCATCCAAATATTTATCATTAATACTTTTAATGACATTCAACGCATGAAATTGAACTTCTAATGGAAGTTGATCATCCAAACATTTTTTAACATTATCATCATAAACACCCAGTTGAGCGTAAGCAGCTAACGTTGATGTTGTCACACCTGTACCTTTACCAGCATTGCTAACAAATTTTGATATTGCTTTTTGAAAATCTTTTACTTTCTAAAATAAGATGAACAACAATAGCCGTTACTACACTGTAAAAAATAGTCGTAGATTAATAAACTATCAAAAAGGGTTTATTGGTCTCAATAAACCCTTTTTGATAGTTTATTAATCTACGACTATTTTTTATAGTGTACATCCATCAATTTGATCATTACCTCATCAGCATTTTTATTTCGACGAGCGGCATAATGTTTGATGATGGTTGCTGCCGGCCCAACAAAATCTTCCACTTGATCTGCATTCAATTTTCTCGCACCTCGTATAATCTGATCAACTAATTCGACTGATGGATTATCAATGTAATAAACAGCCAATGGATTATTAAATTTCAATGTTGTTTCATCTAGGTTTAACAACGATGCAGTTTGATCAGCGTACACTGTATTCATGAACGTTGATACTAATTGTCTAAAGTAATGCGAAATCATATACAGAAAAACTTCTATCATGGTAGTCACTTACTTCAATTGGGGATTTCCCTTAAGAAAATTTAAACTACTTCTATCCATTTGTCTTAGTTCATTGGCTACTTCGAGAAAACGTGATGCCGCAAGTTGATCCCAATCCTTTGAATTTAATAGACCTTGTATTTTTGATGATAATGCTTCAACTTTTTCATTTGTACGAGCGTAAGTTGCACTTGGAACAAATTGTAATGTTTGTCGATTAACATTTCTTATAGCAGCTATAAGAAGAGACACACCCATGTTCAAAATCAATCTGCATTGTCAATTTCAACTTACTTCCATCCAAATTCGCCGCACCAGTTTGTAATGTTATTTCTTGTTTGATATAGATAACTTTTGAACTTCCTTCGTCGTCATCATCTTTTGCTGAATCATCGTACTTTATCAATTCTTCCGATGACGTATCATCTTCATCCGAATCTTTGTCTCCGTGATTATGTGGACTACCACTTTTACCATGTTCTTCGGTTATTTCAACTATTTTACATTTGACAGTTTGAATTTGTTTATTACCATTTACTGACGTTTTACAGACGTATCGTGTTTCAGATGAAAATACTTTGTCGATCTATTCGAAAATCGTAATGTTACTTCAGTATAAAGAATGCCCGTTTGTACTTACCAATGGTCCAAGAAGTGTGGTAAGAACAGGACTAGCACTCAAAAATAATTTATCTTTTGAACATGTTGACAATTGTTTATCTTTATTGATCTGTGTGTTACCACCTTGTTTTTCAAAACTGTATCTCGTCGTACAAACACCATGAACATCTTCCTCTCGAACCTATATAAAAATGTATAATTACTTGTAAGAATCATGCTATTTTGCATAAAGATTTTCAGAACTTACAATAGTAGTACCATCAGCTGCAACCGGTGATGTCACCTGTAATGTACTCAAGACACCTTTAATGAAATTAACATTTTCAACTTTGGCGGATTGATCGGCCTCGAGTAACACAATTAAACCATCTATCCAACGAAAACGAACAATTGTACTTTCAAGATCTTTTTGACTATCTCCAAGTGAAACTGTTTCATCTTTTTCATCATATGTTTCGGTAATTTTAACATTACGAAGCTAAAATTATCAAATACGTATTAACAGTTCAAACTGCTACAACTAACATATCATGATCACAATAAATTTTAACTCAAAGGAAAACAGTTATTCATAGCTAACTAACTGGTTAAAATATGATGATCAGGTACATAAAATCGTTTTAAATTTGAATGAGTTTTCGTAACTTTCCTTTGATAAGTACATGTACATACATTATACTTTTAATTTCTTACCTGAACGGCATAATTACAATCACCCGACCCTTTAATGTGTACATCAGCTGTAATTTTACTTTGAACATCATTCTGACCACCAGCAACAGACAATTTCGATGATGTTGAATATTTGTACAGAAGCGATGAGCCTGGTGCGATGAGATTAGCTATTGGAAAAAAAAGAGGACTCATGGTAATTCTTAAACTCTGCTCGATGTATTATTTATTCATGTTATTCATCTAAGAACTCATGTCTTTTTTTAATATAAATATGTTATAGCAAACGATTCAAAATCAAAACTTACCAGCTGAGCAAATTAGATTTGTGACTGGTGCAGCACTTATTTGAAAAACTATTTTAAAACAAGAAATAACACTAATGAATGTTATATTCAATTAAGTATATCATTGAATAAACTACTTACAACAAAATACCAACAGAATGCATCGTAATGATGCTTCAGTTGATACAAATTGCCTGATATTCATTACAATTGCATTCAATTTTTGTGCTGATGTCTGTAAATAAAAAGAAAACGGTATATATATATATATACTTATAGCTCTCACAGAAAATACCAGTTGTTGATTACCGATATGCGAAGAACTAAAAGTATGAAAATAACTGAAGATTAATAATAGGATGAGAAAAACAAGAAAAATAACTGTTTATAATTCTGTCAGTCGTTTTTTATCACTTTTTTTCCTTTTCCCTTGTCTATGCGAATAGACATGAATGTTTTTGAGTAAGATAAAACCTAACGAAAGAAAAAAGAAAAAAAATTCTGTTTATTTTTATTATCATTCTTAATATTTACATGCATCTGATGGATTCTAAAACAACTTAGATTCTACTGCATAAGAAGTGAACTTTCATCTGTCATACAGGTATACGAACTGTATGTTCGATTTCACTATTCTTGAAGAAACGCGAGTACTCTCACAAAGATAAGATAGAAGTATTTGTTTTTTATTGTGGTGACCACTTCTTGATGTTTAAAATTGACCACATCACAAAAATCAGATGAGAACGAGACATCAGTTAAGAGATTGTTCAAGTAGTGATTATTGCTATCAGTTTATTTGCTTAAAATGTTCAAAAACACACTAAAACTTATCAATAACCGACACGCCTTTTTAGATTAACATTTTGTTGAGTGATAAAAGTATAGTAAAATGTTCGTATTTTTCTCTAGATTTAGTTTTTCAACTCAAATCCTTACTTAAGTATCTCAAACAGATTATAGGAAACAGTTTGATAATCTTATATAATAACAGATGTTAAAATAAACTCTAGCCTTATCTAGTTATATCCGGTCCGTTTTTGTATATGTTTTGTTGTTGTTATAGAATCATCGACGTTCTGTTATCAACACAATTTTTCAAGATGATTCTGCTAATGTATTTTTTGTTTCCATTTCGCATTTGATAGACAATATTGAGATTAATTTTCTACGTGACATTTTACGTACATTTCTCTTCATTACACAAAATCTTTGTTTACCAAATATAGCTATTTTAGACGCGTATTTGATTCATTATAGACTAAGAAATGTTTATAAAATTTCAGTTATCAAACGATTTACCTAGAAATCATTTCTAAAGTAGACAGATGTTTTCAGTAACTGTTATCTATTTGTATCAGTCGCATTATAAAGAGTCTTTTATCACCATAGTCTTAAGCTGCTGTAACCACAGTAATTTATTTTTTTATGAATTTTGCAATATCACTATATGAAATTATTCAGCAGACTACGAATCAACTTCATTAAAACTTTCTTGCTTAGTCAATGTGTTGCTATTTTAATCATTTCCATTTTATCTTCGGTTATTTCACACGAAATTTTGAATACAACTAAAAATAGCTATTACGTTGTTTCTGTGGAACAAATTCATCTGATGAATAAACATGATGATATTGATGAGAAAATGAATGTTGATTCTGTTGCAACCGACGTAATTGATCAAACATATTACGTGTGTCTTGATGAAAATAAACAAGTAGAACAATGTTGGATAAAACAATCAAATAAACGATGGAAACCAACTGACTGTGATAACGGATACAATTATATTTTGAAACCTTTAACTAATAAACTCAATGCATCAAATTTAGTCCAGTTGACCCCTGTTTTTCTCACTGAAAATAGCAATCAAAAACTAAAAAATAAGGAGCAAGTGAAAAATCGAATAGTCAAAAATCATGGCTATTCTGCCAATGAAATGCTGAATAGTCCATTGCAAAATCGTAGAATAAATGAATTTATGCCAGATGAACATCATCAAATGCGGCTTGGTGAAGAATATAATTTTTATCGGCGTTTAGAAAAACGGACACTTCCTTCTATCCCTTGTCCTCCATGGTGTCAGTGTAAAACGTATAAAATAGCAAAAGGTAATGACTGCTGCAAAAGTAGGGAAAAAAGACATATGATAAATAAATTCCATATTGACAAAAAAACAAAGTTACAGTTAAAATTATTAAAATTACAACAACAACAACAAAAAACAATTCAGGCACTCTTTGCACGACCACCATCATCGCACTTTTCTTTGCCATACGGTGATCCATTAAGTTCGATAGAACTACAACAAAGAACAAGTTACAAAAAACAAAATCTAAAACATTTTATACACAAACCAATAGCGATTAATTCAATAAATCCCAAACTTTCTATAAAATATAAGTGAATAGTCATTGGTCCAACCAACGAAAAAAACCCAAAGTAATAAGTTGCGTAGAAGCGTGTTTCAAACGTTGGTGAAGTCTTACTGTGTCTCTGATACAGACAAAAACAATACTTTTCTGATACTTCCTAGTGAGAACATGAAAAACATTGTTTTACTACAGCGATCAGAATCTTCGAAGAGAAACGATTATAACTGGGAGAAATAATAAGAACCTTATATAAATCAATAGATCTTAAGGATATAATAGTTAATGACATTTGCTTCCAAGTTTTCTTTAAAGTCAAGATTACGGTTTCGCAAGACATAAGTTTTCAAGTATCTGACAAGACAAAGATCCATTTTTTCCTAATTGGAATTCATCTGTCGTCTGAAATCAGATTTGCTTATAGAATTGTACAGAAAGATACGGTCTACTCAATGAAACCGTCGCTTAAGAGGTTAGTGTTATCAAAAACTGATAAAAAATTGGAATACAAGAGGTATATCTCGTCATTGATAGAAAATACGCTCACAGTGTATAATAAACAAAACAAAATTTTCAATATTGACTCAAGCAAAAAAACGTGCCGTTCATTTCGCACGTGTAAAAACACGTGTGATATGGACGGTACAATGACTCTGCATATCCATTCCCACACTGTACAAAATAAAGTGAGGGAATTTTAACATTTCTATTCCCACTCGATTTTGGATTCATTTCCCATACAATAATTCTCACGTTTCGCACAGAATTTTTCCCACAGTTGTATTTCCCGCACCATTTTGGATCCGTTTCCCACAGTACTTCCCAAACTTTATTTTTTACAGTGCATAGAGAAAAATAATTATAGTGTCACTATTTCTGAATCGCCTGTGAGCGAGCGGTTAACCGAATTTCTATCTAATATACTTGTTTATAAATTTTTTCTACAATTGATACAAGTTCACTGTAGTCTGGTTGTTTGCATTCTTTTTTTCTTCAACCTCTTTTGCTCAAATATAACGAATACTATATCATTTGAATCAGCTACTCAAGCGCTACAAACCCGTGTATTTTGTTTTTAATTTGTGATGGACGTGGGGTTTTTTCGAGATGTTTTCATATATTGGTTTTATATGAATTAAAAGCCCATATTATTAAAAAAGAATGCCGGTGGCTATTTCTTTAATAAGTTGTGACAATGCACTTCACAGACTAGCGGTTTTCAGCATTGCATAGAGGAGATAATTAACTACCAGTCGGCATAAAAACATCTCAGAAAATACCACCTGTAGGTGGTATACCTTATTAGTCTTTGAAAGAGTAGATCGTAGTTCCAGGTTCTACTAGAGTGATCCCTGTATTTCTTATATACGTATGAGAGCTTAAAATGTTCTCTACCAAATGGCAATCAAGTAACCTCTTCATCTTTCATGGTTTAGGCGCAGCACCGGATTTCCTCGAAGCCCCAGGATCGATATTTCCTTAGGTTTGGTAATCTCGAAAATGAATGGAAACACGGGTTATCCATCGCGCTGAGTCTAGTGGCAATGTTTGTTTTTCGAAACAAATTCAAAAACCTAGTGAAAACCTATATTAGGTGAAATCGCTCTTGTATGGAAATTCGGTTTTTTCATTACCTCGTACACGAACTTATGCAAGCATTTTTAAAAAAGCGAAGCATTTGAAGAAAAATTTTCGCTGTCAGAGTTGTGCAGAATAATCCCCTTTATACTCTAAGCGGAGCACTTTTTCATTTTAGGGGTAAAATTTTGAAATAAATGAGCAATTTACGTAAGTTTTAAGTAAATTTAAAGCTCAAAATTTTTTATTTGTAATTTATTTCAAAATTTTCCCACTAAAATAAAAAAAGTGCTGCGCTTAGAGTATGAAGAGGATTATCCTGAACAACTTTGCCAGCGAACATTTTTCTTCAAAATGCTTTGTTTTTTTGATAATGTTTACATAAGTTTCAAAAAATGACTTTAAGGGCTCAAACTGCAAGAGAAAGAAAAATGTTAATAATGTTAAAATGTTAATGTTAATGTTCAATTTTCACTATAACCTGTGGATATGTGTCACTTAATGTGCGTTGTCGACAATAAGAGTTCCAGCTTTAATTTTAAATTTCTTATAAATTTTTAAATAGAGGATCAAAATCGTATGAAATTCGTAAAAGTTTGTTTTCTCGGCAATCACAAGTCTATTCATCGAAAACACTTCAGAGGATATACAGCAAGATGCGCTCTGCACAGTTATGAAAAAACGGAGGTGGTTCCCTCTCTCATAAATACTGATAACAGTTAGTCACACCGACCAAAAAACCTCTCGAAAAAAATTCAGTAGTTCATACTACAGCAGAATTTAAATCACAATTATCACAAATATTTCGATTTTACATTTTCAGATTCTTTATTTGGAGGTGTTAAAGTGTCTTGATCTGAAATTATCAAAATACAGATGAACGACCTATAGTACTTGTTGAAGAATACGAGCTGCTGTACCTTCATCCTCCTTCCTTTCACTATAAATGATCAAGTTGGAACTGCCTTCTTCAGCATCGTCATCTAACAAGCGTTCAACGGGAAACCTGCAGAATAATATTCATAAAGAAATATTCTTCTTCATCTAACATCTGATTATTTACTCGTAAATTTCATTTTTTCTTAGATCGGTAATTTTAACCCTTATAATGAAACGCAGCAATATATCAGAGCTAAATAGCATCAAACTAACATACCATTCACAATTCCAAGAAGTGGTTCTACCACCATCATGAAATAAACGAATTTTTTTAATCTAAAATTGCACTGTAAATGATTAAAATTCGCGTATCAGAGTGAAACATACTTCACCACCATAGGGAAGATCGAAAATATGAAATTCATCTAAAAAGTTGTGTAAATATATTTGAAAACATTCATTTATAAAATGAGTATGACATTTACCTGTTTGTCCCTTTCGAAATGGTGTCGTATTGTTGGAACTTTTGTCGAGTAAAATGGGTCCTAAATAAGATTAATTATATTCTAAGATTACACACATCAAAGAAAAAGAAAAATTGATTTACCAAACACTTTTAATGTTCCAAACATTTGAAGGTAAACATTGACTTGTATGCCTGTCTCATTTGTCATGTTCTTGTTTCCAGTTAATACTTGAACAATATATGTTGGCATATGAGCATAACCGGGCTCTTTGTTGACGTAGCATATGACCGTATTTTTCTTATCCATGGCATTTGCGCCTAACCAACGATTGATGGGAAATCGATAACTCTTTGGTATTAACGTATGAGACGATGTATCCCATGAGGCGGCTGTATCAATAATTTCTATATAATCGCATAACCAACTTTGATATTCAGCAACATCAAGTTGAAGTTCAATTGTACTGATCTAAAAGATTCAGATGAAAAATTATATGAAATACGGTCGAATTTAGACTTACATCTACTAAACGTTTTGCTGTTTTCAATTCAATAGTATCTTCATTACCAGCGTGAAACAATTGAAACATCTCTCTTCCTGATCCAAGTACTATATCATTTAATTGAGAATTTTTACCACGTATTGATAATATTATTTTACCACGCAGCGATGTTTGAGCTGGCAATACGGCTTGAGTTTTAACAATTACAGTATAAGTCCAATCTGTTAGTAATTGAAAGATGATATACATCATACAGCAAAGGAAATTCTAATCTCAACTTACCAGCATCATCTTCCCGTTGTCCCAGGACATCCACTGATATATCGCCAGTCTTATCCATAAACCATCTATCCACATTAAATCTGATAAATATTCCAAACAAATAATAAAATAGTACTCAAGTAATGGCGGACAAACTTTTTTTACTTGTATGAGATTCCACTCAGATGATCAGTTACTGTAATTTTTTCGCAATACCATGGAAATGTTCCATTATAGTGTAATTGTAATACTTTCAACTAGAAATGGTATACATTCAATTATCTCAGTATGAGTACAACTTGAAAATGGTAATTTACTTCTGTTAATGGATTTATCATTATGTCAAAACTATCTTGTTGATCGGGTTGGAATAGTTTCCTATAATTACCATGTCCCACGAGAGGAATTCTGGAAAACCAACGAACGTATCTCTGTAGTGTTCCATGATGTAACAGATCGTTCTTACTTTGTTGTGTCTGTTATAGAATCAATTAATGTTATATAGACAACAGGCTTGTCTGTTAGGTCAGCATGAACAGGCGTTTGTGCTCCAGTTTTAACCCGAACAACATAATTTGGTGTTATTGGACTGAACGTTTGAGCTAGAGAAATTTAAATTATTCTGATGATCGAATAAACTCATTCAAAAACTTACTCGATTTTCGAATCAGAATATCCACGGGTAAATGGAACACTTTCGAGGAAGTTCCTGTTTCCTTATTTAAACATTTTTCGATCGTAAAACTAAAATAAACTTAGTGAGTCTCACGTAATACATTTGTTAACCACTTCTAATAATTAAAAGTGAAATTTTTTAAATAGATCACTTTTAAACTAAATTTTGAACAAGAAAAACATGAAAATGTTTACTTGACTATTTCATTTGTTATTGTATCTTTTATTTCCATTGATTCGAGGCACCAAAAATCTTCTTGTTTTCCATTGTGATAAATATCGATGGCACTAATGTTTCCTACGGACGTAATTTGTGAAATTTCAAACACATCTGTTTGTTCTGGTTGTAAATAATGACGACATTCGGCTGGAATTTTCAATGGTATATCCTACAGAATGAAGTAAGTCAATTGAATATAAATTGTTTTTCTTTTATTAGGTCGTTAACCTTTGACACACCAGCATCACCAAATAATTTTATTGTAATATAAACCGAACCAAATCTAAAATTTAATGAAGCCCCTTGTTTAGCTGTTTTTATTCGAACTAAGTATATGACGCCTGGTTTAATTCCAGCTTTCCATGTTGTGATGTATGTATCAGACGCTTCAATAATATCATTGATGAGAAATCTATACAAATTAACGGTAAATTAAGATGAATTATACTAGTG